TGCGACTGCTTGAGGGCTCCTGGATTGGAGCTGAAAGGCAAAAGGGATGCAGTACGCTTCCTCCCACATGCTGGGGTAGACCAGGTGTCTCGATAGGAAAACACTTTACACACACACACACACACACACACACACACACATAAATAAACACACACACACATACATACACATACATAGTATATATGGGGGACATGGTGGCTCAGTGGCTAAGACACTGAGCTTGTTGAACAAAAGGTCAGCAGTTCAGCGGTTCGAATCCCTAGTGCCAAGTAATGGGGTGAACTCCCGTTACTTGTCCCAGCTTCTGCCAACCTAGCAGTTTGAAAGCACATAAAAAATGCAAGTAGAAAAATAGGGACCACCTTTGGTGGGAAGGTAACCGCATTCCCTGTGCCTTTTTGTGTTTAGTCATGCCGGCCACATGACCACGGAGGCATCTTCAGACAGGCTCTTTGGCTTTGAAACAGAGATTAGCACCACCCTCTAGAGTCAGGAACCACTCTCACATATGTGCGAGGGGCACATTTCAGGGGTGAAATCCAGCAGGTTCTGACAGGTTCTGGAGAACCAGTAGCAGAAATTTTGAGTAATTCAGAGAACCGGCAAATACCACCTCTGGCTGGCCCCAGAGTGGGGTGGGAATGGAGATTTTACAATATCCTTCCCTGCCACGCCCACCAAGCCATGCTCACCAAGCCACGTCCAAAAAACTGGTAGTAAAAAAAATGAATTTCACCACTGGAACCTTTACCTTTAGTATTTATTTATTCAGAGTAGAGTCAGGGTGACTGGATGGAGCTGAGCATTTACTGGTCAGATGCCCTTCCTGATGCTTACATGGAGTTCACAGTAGATATATTTTCTTTGTGCTCTAGGAGAGAACCATCTTCTGCTACCTATTATTGAACTCTCAACTTTCCAACTCGCCAAGAGGCAAGTGTCTTCATCACTAGGCCATGATACAAGTCAGATTGAAATTTCACTTTAGGCACAAGGAATCCTAAAAATCAGTCCAATTTAGAATTTCTTACAGAAAATTACAAAGGACTCTACTCTTAATTTTAGACACATTTCAAGGCTACTGATTGCTTTCTTGGTATTACAAGACAGGCAAGATTAGAGTTAAGTGTTATCAACCAAGTGTGGCATCAAACTCCATAACTCTGAGTTACCTCCCCAGTAGTCTTTGGAGACAAGAGGCCATGTTGAAAGACAAAGATATTGAATTATCTACTTCAGCTTCACTTTCTGGACATGTCCTGACAAGAAGGACCACAACCACTACAAAACAATGCTCCCAAGGGGTATAGCTGTGATTTTTCTATAGCATGTTTTTTTTCCAGTTACTCCTCTGCAAATGGAGCCTTTGAAGAAGTTCAGGATTCCCAGAAGGGAAGTTGTGTCTTGCTGTATTTTTCACCAACTTGGTTTGTCTCTGTCTAAAAATGTGATTGAAGGAATAAGGGAGGGATCTTCTGTCAGAGAAGGATAAATGCTTCAAGTAATGCTCTCTTTGGAACACGTTTTGGAACAAGTAGGAGCTGTACTCTTGAATGTATTTTTTCTCCTTGCCAGATGAAGCTTGGTTTGTCTCTGTCTGATTCAGGAAAGCTACTGGCATTTTCATCTTGTGAGACTCCTTTGGATTCTTATTCAGAAACAGCAAAGGGGTTGATTCATCTCTATGTATTATGAACCTCCTCCTTCTGCTTCTGATGCTGCTAGTGTCTCTGCCAATCTCTAGGAACCTTGGAATCAAGTGCCCACTGAGTTTGGAACACCAGGATGGAGAAAAACCATCAAGCTATTACAGACCAGGAGACCATCTCATTAGTATAGTCATCACTGCAACAGAAATACCACATACAGTATTGCTTTTCAACAAGGCTCCTTATAATCAGTCTGACTTGTAAGTCATACAGTGTGATGAACGTTCAAATTCTCTTCATTTGGAGCCCTTCCAATCCTGAATTGTTTCCTTTTGTTTCCACAGTTTTCTAACCCACTCATTGATATTCATTTCCTGATCCTTATAGGAATAGACAATTTATTTTTAGAATGGCTTTTCTAGGTCACTTATCAAAAATCCTCTTCCATTTATCATGATTTTGTTTGAACGATTGAATTATTTTGCAATGGTTCCTGGGCTGAGGAAAATTGGTATTGCTACATATTATGGTGGATTTGTGAAACTTAACATGGTGGGGAAATATCTTCATCTTCTCTTACCAACAGTCAAAATTTAAAATTAAATTTTGATGGGTGAGAATAGTTTGCTGCTGGTTTTGGGTCAATACTGGCTTAAGATTCAATAGGTTTGTGGAGAAAAGTAATGTATTAAATAGAAAGAAAGATTTTGTTATTGCTGTTGAAGATGCTGATATCAACATGATATTTTTTTTACACTAGTTTACCTTATGATAAATCAAGATTATTATACTTTATTTTCAATATTCAAGTTGTCAACAAAACTCCCCAGCTCTTGCACAATTTGACACTTGGCTACAACATCCATGACAACTATTTGGACACACTTGGCACTTCAGATGCCATGCTGGACATTCTCTCTGCTGGAGAAGCCAATGTTCCCAACTACAGCTGTGGAAGGAAGGACAACCTGTTGACTCTGGTTGATGGAGATGAAAGGGACATTTCTATCCAGATGTCAACATTAGCAGACACCTACAAAGTCCCACAGGTTTGTGTGTTTATTTCTCTATCTGATAAATTGAGTAGAGTGGTAGTGGATGGGTGATAGATCCAACTATATCTTGTCTATAGAATTGTAGTTATCATAGCCAAAAATTAGGAATGGGGAGGGAGCAAGGATCAAAACAACAAATCCTCTCATAACACCATCCTCATTGCTTAGTGGGCTTCTACTACAGACTTGTGAAGTGAGCTGAACTTTGTGTTCAATGAGGTTTGGTCGCCACGATGTAAAAAAGACGTTGAGAAAGAGTGCAGAGAAGAGCAACAAAGATGATCAGGGGACTGAAGGCTAAAGACTGAAGGACTAGGGGAGACATGATAGCAGTGTTCCAGTATCTCAGGGATTGCTACAAAGAAGAGGAAGTCAAACTATTCTCCAAAGCACCTGTGGGTAGGACAAGAAGCAATGGGTGGAAATTAAGCAAGGAGAGAAGCAACTTAGAACTAAGGAGAAATTTCCTGACAATTAGAACAATTAATAAGTGGAACAACTTGCCTACAGAAGTTGTGAATGCTCCAACACTGGAAATTTTTAAGAAGATGTTGGATAACCATTTGTCTGAAGTGGTGTAGGGTTTCCTGCCTGGGCAGGGGATTGGACTAGAAGACCTCCAAGATCCCTTCCAATTCTGTTATTCTATTTCTATTTCAATAAAAAGGAACTTCTGGGTAACTGGAAATTAAGGAGTGAAGGAAAGCTTATGTTTTCCGTATGATCTTAGACAAAGTAATGAAATTGTCAATTTTTCAGATTCATGAAAAGAATCCAAATGGATTCTCTTATCTACTGTTGATAAAACATACACTGCATATGGTGGTCCCCGATGGAAGCATTGATATACCCGAATACTCTAGAAATAGGAAAGATGATGCAGTACCAAGACTTATTGAATCATGAAGGCAAACTTATCTCAAGACAGCAGCTCCAAAACTCTGGCATAAATATCGATTGGTGGCCCTATACTCAAATACACTCAAGACACATAGCAGATAAAAAGCAATATGGAATTTCGAATAATTTGAACGAATTGGACAAGATTTTACAAGGCCCAGAACAAAAGATGATAACCAAATTATATAACTATTTTCTTAGATATAAATTATTGGAAGAAACAGTAAAAGAAAATATGATAAGGTGGGCTAGGGACATAGGGCACAACATTCAACTAGCAAACTAGGAGAAATTGTGGAAACAGAACATTAAAATGACAAGAGCCATACCCTACAAAGAAAACCTCATAAAAATGTTTTACAGATGGCATTTAGCACCAGCCAGATTAGCCAAAATATACCCGAATGCCTCCCCACACTGTTGGAAGTGCAAAACAAAAAAAGGGACATACTACCATGCCTGGTGGAAATGTACAAAGGCCCAACAATACTGGAAGGACATAAAGGAAACTATTGAAGAAATAATAAATCAACAAGTAGAAAACACTCCAGAATTTTTCCTATTTGGAATGATAACAACACAACAAAACAAAGAGACAAAATACCTCATCATACAAATTCTGACAGCAGCACGGTTACTGTTCACGCAAAATTGGAAATCAGACCAACTCCCAACCAAAGACAAATTAATCTCAAAGATAACAGAATGTGCTGAAATGGATAGATTGACACTAGAACTCCAGGATAAAGAAGAAAGCGAATTCTTGTGTGGCACCAGTGGTATCAATGGCTGGAAAAGAAAATCAGTACAAATATAGATGAAAGAAAATAGGGTAGAAAATTTAAAATTGGAAATGAATAAGAGGAGATGCAAGATTATTTCTAATTCAAAACACCTGAATTGACAATGTATCATACATATATTAACTTACAAAGCAATATATATTCTGATGATGACCAAAACATATATGTAAAGTATGGTGTGGGTAGGTTGGTGGTGGGAATCTGTTTGTCTTTGTATTGTCTTTGTATTTTTTGTATTGTCTTTATATCCTTGTTTAAAATCCAATAAAAAAAAACATGCACTGCATATCTTTTACTGTATTGTCTTATCACTTTTTCAGATTAGTCTTGAAACTGCTTCAGAGGCTCTGAGTGAAAAAAGTCAGTTTCCTTTTTTCCACCGGACGTTCCCCAAAGAAGGTTTTCAGTACCCAGGAATTGTCCAACTTCTCCTCCATTTCAGATGGACCCTGATTGGTCTCTTTGCTTCAGACACAGAGAAAGGAGAGAATTTCATGAGAACTTTTACTCCTTTGCTTGTCAGGAATGAAATTTGTGTTGTTATATCACAACAATTCTCAACAACTACACCCACAAAATCCTTCAGGGAAGCCATGTCCAAGTGGAGACAGGTCAACGTCTTTGTTCATTTTGCAGAATATGATCCCATTTGGGACAGAATCCTTCCTTTCCATTTAACCCTTGAAGGTTTTCCAGGATCCATTGAAGGGAAAGTCTGGCTCATGACAGGTTTGGGAACATATGAAATGAAAAAGCACAGACTTCTCAAATACATCCATAGTATTTGGACATTTTCTTTTTTGCCAAATAAAAGGCCAAAAGATGAGGCCTTTGAACCCTATTTCTTTCTAAGCCCCAGTTTTGAAGATGAGTCTTTTGAATGTTCTCTTTCAAAGCATGTTTTTTCTGTCAAAGGCCGGAGACGGTGCACTGAGAAATTGCCCCTGGGGGCCCAAAAGAATGAGGGCAATTTCCATATCACAAATGATGAACATTATTACAGTTTTGTTAAGACTCTGGTCCATGCCTTGAATGCTGCGTATTCCTCCAATTCCAGGAGGAAAAGGAAAGAAGGGGAAGAGAGCTTGGGCAATCCAAGGCTACAGCCATGGCAGGTACAGAGTCCTGAGAAGGCTCCATAAAACCTAGTCACTTTTGAGAATTCAAAGGAGAAGCAGGAGAACCTTCTCATCCTATTTGTGCTACAAAAGGCCAACAGATTTGGCCAATCTAATCACATGGGAGGATAATTTTCCAAACAGCCTATACTAAAAAAGATTTTCATATTAACCACTGCTAATTTTAAAAAGGATGCATGAATTTTAAAATAAATGTCAGTATGTATAGATATGGATGGAGGTGGTTAGCATTATAGAATTTTACATTTATCAATCTGAAGGAGACCCTGAGACCACCTAGCCCAACCCTTCCTGTCTGCAGGAAACCCAGTTAAAGCTTTTCTGATTGATGGATCCTCTCTCTTTGCATAAAGGCAAATCAGAGAAATGGAGACTGAAGTTTTCTGCTTTATTGGTTCAGTTCTAAAATGGTTCCACCCAGTGGAGACATTCATTTTTTTTTTACTACCAGTTCTGTGGGCATGGCTTGCTGGGAGTGGTAGGGGAAGGATACTACAAAATCTCCATTTCCATCCCATCCCAGGAGAAGAATATTGCAAAATATTCATTCCCTCCCCACTCTGGGACCAGTCAGAGGTGGTATTTGCTGGTCCTCCGAACTACTCAAAATTTCCGCTTCTGGTTCTCCAAAACCTGTCAGAACCTGCTGGATTTCATCCCTGGTTCTGCCTTTTAGAACATTTTCCTCTCATTCAGCCAGAATCTTTTTTGTGACTGAATTCATGTTACCATGTCTGACACCCTGGAATAACAGTGAGAAAATATTAAGCTTCTGTTTAACATCTTTCAGTTATTGGAAGAGTCTTGTATCTTTTCCTTTTCCAACTGAATATTTTATAAGTTGGAAAGCTGCTCCCAGTCTTGTTATTATCTATTGCCATAGAGCAACCTAGTCCTCTCCTTGTAGTCTTTCCTGAAGGCTAAGAGCAGGCCTTTTGATCTCTTCCTTGGCTTCTTCACTTTCCCCTAAACCTGATTCAGGGATTGTGCAATGCTTCTTCTCCAAGCATGGTGCCTCCAGAAGAACTGTATGTGCGTTGGTATCTCCCAAAACCAGAATATTCATGTCCTGATATTTTTATGGATGCATTTATCTTCTGTGTATCAGCATCTTACTGCTGACTGAAATTTGATTTGCCAACAACTATTTCAAGATTACTGTATTTTTCGGAGTATTATAAGACGCACCTTAGTTTTTGAGAAGGAAAATAAGAAAAAAGCTGATTGGCGGGTGGATAAGCCACCCAGAATAACCCCAATCACCTGTTCCCAGAGGTGAATTTTAGCAACAGGTTCATTGGTTGTGAGCCCTGTGCCTTGCTTTTTTTTCAGCCTCTGAAACTTCTAAGACTCTGTTTCTGAAAAAAACTTTTTTTCCTGCCTCCGAAAGCCTCTGAAACAGAGCTTCAGAAAAAAAGGCATCTGAGCTGAAGCTCTGTTGCGGAGACTCTTTTTCTTAAGCTTCTTTCAGAGGCTTTTTTTTTCTGAAGCTCTGTTTGGAGGCTTTTTTCCTGAAGCTTCATTTCTGAGGCTTGAGAGGCTGGGTAGGGCTACATTCGGAATATAAGACACATCAGATTTTCACCCTCTTTTTTGGGGGGGAAAAAGGTGCATCTTATACTCCGAAAAATACGGTACTTTCACAAATATACTTACCAAATTTGGTATCCCTTGTCCCTCTTCCAGTGTATGATTAAAATTCTATAATTTATCAAATCCATGTTGCTAAAGCTCTGATATTTTTCTACTGCATTTTCCTGATGCACCTCTCCCTATGAGGAAATCATAAATATTTTTCTGTAAACTTGGCATTGTTTGAATGAGATGAAATTAGTTTTTCTAAAGATCTGTATAAATCTTCCATCAGATTTATCAGCTCTACTGTACTGATGGCAATATAGAAAAATTGATGACCAAGAACTAAAGAGTTGTTATTAATCCTAATTCCCCATTTTTATGAGAAAGGTTAAAAATATTAAACATTGTTTCAGTACAATTTTAACAAAGTGTTTTATCCACTTAATTGTCATATCATCCAGCCCTCACATAACTAGGTTCCTAATCATCACGTCATGAAATATTTTTTTTAATACATTGCTGAAATCAGGTTATTATCACCAGGATTCATAAAATCTATTAAGAAATATAATGATATGTGGGAAAAAGAGATGGTGCATAGGGAATGATTAGATAGGAGGGAATAAGCCTACAGATGCATAATGGGCAGAGAAAGAAAATCAGAAAGATATTGAAAAAGAATTGCTACGAGATTTATATTTACAGACTTGCGTGTTTCTCTCAGTGTAGCCTTCAAAAAAAGTAGAATTAGCTCATTTGCTCTTGTTTCCCATCTGGTCTATTAGGGAGAAGTTTTGACTGGCAATTTTCATCTTGAAAATCCATGCTTTTGGGTCATCACCAAATGAGATTATGAATAATCTCTTTTTTGTATTATTCAATTTATTTGATACCTATGTTACAATGTTCCCTATACATGACCAGTTGTGCCAATTGTATTTTGTTAATATAAATTCTGTCAATATATGATTGGGAAATTTTGCTGAACCTTTTTCCTTCACTTATGAAGATAGTGGTGACACTTTTCTCCTTATTAAGTATACTTTGAAGTTAGAGAACAATAGTTGCAAGTCGTACAACTGCAGAAGAACGAATCAAATGTGAAAAGATCACGTGGGATAAGAAACAGAGGTTTCTGCCTTTAAAATTCTTGGATGTTTCCATTCTAGTTTCATCCCTTTCTGGGTTTTTTTTTCAATTTTTTTTTTTATTTCTCATAAACACATTTACATGTACAATCATTTATCCATCATTTTTCATTCATCTTATCTTTTAACTTTCATTTTTCATTTTTATTTTTTAGTTTCATCCCTTTCTGGAGAAGAATGAGTTTTGCAATCTTTCCCAATTTAGACTCTACATGGACCAAAATGGAGAGATAGCAGCAGATCTGGGCATCGTGGCCTTGTTGGTTCTCCCCAAAAAGGATCCCATCGAAAGGCTACTGGGGGCATTTAAAACTCAGAGCTTTATTTTCTTGAAAGATGCTAAGTCAGAGCTAAAGTTGCTCAACAAAGTGGGTGAAATTTTGGCATCTTACCTCTGTTTTTAAAAACCTTAATGCCCTAATTAAATCATGAGCCTCAAACAAGCTTCAAAAGAAATCCAGATATTTATTAGGAGCTTCATGTCGGCACGAACCAAGTGAAGCCAACTCTGACCTCACTTAATTCGCACCTTGGCTCTGACCCTGTTTCCCCCTTCCCCCAAGGTGTGTCATCAGTCACATTCCCCAATGAAGCAATTTCGTGCATTGTAGAAGTCACTCCATCCAGCCACTGTAGGTCCCCCTGGAGATGACCTTGACATTGCCAGCTGGAATGTGCTTTGTTTTGACTGAAATGCAAGTTCCTTGATGCAGCTGCAAGGCTCAGTTCCCCATCCCCCTACCTATGGCAACTCGAGAGCAGGTCAGGAATGCTTCGCAAGTTGACATTTGGCCTCCCTCACTTCTTGAAGGCAAGCTGTGCAAAGCAAAAACAGTTTGAGTACAGGTATAGATTTTACGGGTGTGACCCCTAGGCTTGGCTTACTCAATGAACCCCCTTGCTAGGTTTTTGTCTATGTATTTGCACATTTTTTGCATTTCCCGGCATGTCATGGCGTAAAATTTGGGTTTAGGTAGTTTTGCCCCAGGAATGATTTTGGTGGCACACTCCATCTCACGGTGGGGAGGGAGTAGGACATCACACTCAGCCTCGCTGAACACTTCCGCAAGGTCCTGATATTCTTTGAGGATCTGTTTGACCTCTGGGGTTTTGTCGAAGGTGGCTGCCAATTGTTCTGGTGCAGAAGTTCCCCAGTAAGTCCTAAGTGCAATAAGTTCATTAGCCTAGCAGCCACAAGATTTTACGAAATAAATAAATAAATAAAATTAAAAAAGAATGCTCCCTTCTAAGTTGACAGCACTAATTGGTAAGCAGTTATTTATTTATTTTTTTTGAAAATTCATTTTTGACTATGTTCAAAGGAGAACACTTTTGCAATGTTAGATGGATTCCAGAACAAAACTTTTCCAAACCTACTGGTCAGCGGTTTCTTTCTTCATCACAGTTATGCATATTTTAATAAATTGAATAGAATAAAATTTTAATGAATATTATTTAGAATAAATTTTATTCCAAAATTTATTAGGAATATAACACCAAAATTTAAAATCATAGATATATGAAGAACGGAGGCCATGAGCAGGAACCCACTGGTTTTCATTGAATGCTTTTTTTTTTTTTTCAATTCCATCCTTCCAGATTTCATTAAATAGAAAAATACTCTCTGGCAATGTGATTTAGTTAGAGATTTCATACTTACCTAAGTAAATCCTAGAGACTACTTGGTGAATTGTCAATACATGTCCATTTTGAATGAATAGGAGTCCTAACACATTTTCCTTGTCATTCCTTGTTTTATTTTTCTTCTTAGTCTCTTCCTCAATCAATTTGTGTGGAAAGTTGTCATCCTGGATTTGTCAAGCGGGCTCGAGAAGGAGAGCCAGTTTGCTGCTACGACTGCATTCCTTGTCCAGAGGGAACCATCTCCACTCAAGAAGGTGGGTAACAACAGAGGAAATGATTCTGGATTTATCCAAAGCATTTTGATCAATATGCTTTTAAAAGCATGCTATCAATTATTGTCCGAAGAAAGTATTGCTTGAAAGGTAAAAGGGTATTATATGAGAGAAATATTTCTTTTTGTTTTTCTCAGATATGGAAAAATGCACCCAGTGTCCAGATGATAAATATCCAAATGAAGACCGAATCCAATGTATCCCCAAAGTTCTAACCTTTCTTTCTTATCAAGAATATCTGGGCATAATCTTGGTCTCTTTTGCTCTACTTTTGTTCCTAACCACAGATCTTGTTTTATTCATATTCATTAAATACCGAGAAACTCCCATTGTCAAAGCCAACAACCAGGATCTCTCCTACATCCTCCTGGTCTCCCTCTTGCTTTGCTTCTTGTCCTCTTTTCTCTTCATTGGACAACCAAGAAAAGCCACCTGTCTTCTCCGACAAACAGTGTTCAGCATCATCTTCTCAGTTGCTGTTTCTTCTCTCTTGGCCAAAACCACCATGGTGGTATTGGCTTTCCTGGCCACAAAACCAGGCAACCGAGTGAAGAAATGGCTGGGAAAGAGCTTGGCCAACTCCATCATCCTTTCTTGTTCTGTTGTCCAAATGATCATCTGCTCCACCTGGCTAGGAGTTTCTCCCCCCTTTCCTGACTCTGACTTCCACTCTCAGATTGGAGAGATCATCCTGCAATGCAACGAAGGGACCGTTGTCATGTTCTATATCACCTTTGGCTACATGGGCTTCCTGGCTGCCATCTGCTTCACGGTGGCTTTTCTAGCCAGGAATCTCCCTGGGGCTTTTAACGAAGCCAAGCTGATCACCTTCAGCATGCTGGTCTTCTGCAGTGTCTGGTTGACTTTTGTGCCCACCTACCTAAGCACCAAAGGAAAATACATGGTGGCTGTTCAGATCTTCTCCATCTTGGCTTCCAGTGCTGGTCTCCTGGGCTGCATCTTCATCCCCAAGTGCTACATCATCATTCTGAGGCCAGACTTGAATACAAGGGAGCAGCTTACAACTAAACGAAATGTTAAAATGTAAAATGTAAGAATTTTGACCCTCAATACTTTCCAACAGGTCAAGCCTATAAAAAGTCCCAAGCTGTTTTGCATATGTGAGTTGGCCAATGATTTTGCTTGAAAAAAAATTAAAGGGTGGTCAGACGATGTATTCTCCACACTTACCCAGTTGAATTTCAAGACAGCCCCCATTCACTTTTGAACAGTTGAGGTATCCTATCTGTCCTCTGCCCTTGGATTACATGAGCCCTGAAATGCCCCATCAAAACATTTTAAAAATGGCATTGGTGCAATGGGATTGTTGTCGATATGCCAGAAAAAATAGCACAGGAATGTCCTTTTAAAATGTCCTTATTGTAGTTATACCATGGCTTATTTATAATTTTATCTAGCTGAGCGATATAATTTTATTGATTGATTGATTGATTGATTGATTGATTGATTGATTGATTGATTTAGCCACCCATCTTACCATAGGGTAACTCTGGATGGCTTACAGTTACACACACATTTAAAACATAAAAGTTTAAATCAGACATTAAAACCAAGGACACATGGGGAGGGCAGGGGCAGAGTGGGAGGGAGATGGGATCTGTTATTACTCAATCAAGCCCCATTAATTAAAGTATACAAAGTTAAGATTACCCCTAGGTTCCTGTATGGAGCAGAGGTTTGGGACCTATATTCAACCACAGCCCCAGAACAAACACAGTCCCAGCATTTGAGATGTATTTTTGGTGTAGATCCAAGAACATCTGCTGCAGCAGTTAGAACTGAAATGGGAATTCATACAATTCATGCATTATCCAAAATTAGAGCAAATAACTACTGGTGCAAAGTCAATGAAATGGAGACTGATAGACTCCCCAAGATATGTCTCCTAGAGCAAATAAAATTACAATCACAAATCTCCTGGATCACCAAATCACCAAATTTTGTCAGAAGCTGTGGCCTTCCTGTCTTCAGGAGACCAATTTAAAAAAAGATCTGCCCAAAGAATTAAGGATATAGAAGCACAAAATGATATAGCTATCCTTAGTAAGATGGGTAACTTGAAATGGCTGAGCAAATACAAATGTACTTTTTAAGTAGACAGCTATTTGATGTCACAACTGTGAAAACATTTTAGGAAGATATTTATGCGAGCGAGATTCGAACAACTTGATACAATGGTCAGATATGGGAAATTCCATTCTATATTCTACAATGAGCATCTCTGCATCTGCGGAGCAGCACAGGTAGAAGATCTGGCTCACATTTATTTGACTGTTGCTTGTATAAGGGGATGAGAGACAGGAACCTTGGTCCATATACCAAACAAATGACCAATTGCGATCCCCATATCAAAACAACTTACTTTATGTGCAGCCAGAACCTGAAAATAGCATTTAACACAGCACAGTACTTAAACAAAATGGTTTGGTTGAGATCAGCATACGTGGGACTGATTGGGGTAGATTGCAAGGGTGACACTGAAATATTATTTATTTATTTATTTATTTATTTATTTATTTATTTATTTATTTATTTATTTATTCATTCATGTATGTCATTTATATGCCGCCCTTCTCCCGTAGGACTCAGGGCGGCTGACAAAAACAAAACAAAGAATTATATAAACAATTAAAATCAGTTTAAAATTAAATTAAAATCAATTAAAAATTATTAAAATTATTTGAAGTCACCCCTACGGATTCAGCCCATTTGGTGAAAAAGCCATGTCTTCAATTCGTGGCAGAAGGAGAGGAGGTCTGGGGCTGTCCTGAGGCTGGTGGGCAGCCCATTCCAGAGGGTTGGCGCTCCCACAGAGAACGCTCTTCCCCTGAGGGCCACCAGCTAACATTGTCTGGCTGACGGCACCCTGAGGAGGCCCGCTCTGTGTGAGTGCACCAGATGGTGGGAGGAAGGCAGGAGATGATCCTGCAGATACCCTGGGCTTAAGCCATGTAGGGCTTTATAGGTGAGCACCAGCACCTTGAAACAAACCTGGAGAGCCACCGGCAGCCAGTGCAGCTCGAGCAGGAGAGGTGTCACATGGGAGTACCGAGAAGCCCCCATAACAACCCGTCTGGCCGCATTCTGGACTAACTGTAGTCTCCGAGTGCATCCCAAGGGCAGTCCCATGTAGAGGGCATTACAGTAGTCCAACCGAGATTTAACAAGGGCATGAGTGACCATGGCAAGGGCATCCCAATCTAGGAAAGGGCACAACTAGCACACAAGGTGTACCTGTGCGAAGGCCCCCCTGGTCATGGCCGTCAAATGATCTTCTAGGGATTGCCATGAATCCAGGAGGACCCCCAGATTGCGGACCCTTTCTGAGGGAGTAAGGATCTCCCCTCCCATCACAAGTGATCGGGCCACTAGATCAAGAGATGCCGGTATCCACAGCCACTCAGTCTTGGATGGGTTGAGTCTGTTTCTTCCCATCCAGGCCCGCACCGCTTCCAGGCAGCAGGACATCACAGAAAGGGCATCCCTAGGGTGATCCAGGGTGGAGATGTAAAGCTGTGTGTCATCAGCATATTGATGGTACCTCACCCCGAAACCATGAATGATCTCACCCAGCAGCTTCATGTAGATGTTAAAGAGCAGAGGGGAGAGAACCAATCCCTGAGGCACCCCAAAAGTGAGAGGCCTCGGGGTGGATCTCTCTCCCCTGTCCACACAAACTGTGAGCAGCCCGAGAGGTAGGAGGAGAACCACCGTAAAAATGGTGCCTCCCACCCCCACCCCCCAAGTCGCTACAGTAAGATACCATGGTCGATGGTATCGAAAGCCACTGAGAGGTCAAGAAGGACCAGGATGGAGGAACAACCCCCATCCCTGGCCCGTCAGATATCATTTACTAGGGTGACCAATGCTGTTTCCGTGCTGTAACCACACCTGAAACCCGATTGGTACGGGTCTAGGTAGTCGGTTTCCTCCAGGAACTGCGGGAGCTGCTGTGCCACCACAGACTCAACAACCTTCACTATAAAGCGAAGGTTGGAGACTGGACAATAGTTATTAAGGGAGTCTGGATCCAAGGTGGGCTTCTTGAGGAGGGGACAGTCCACCGCCTCTTTGAGTGTGGCGGGGAAGACCCCTTCCCTCAAAGAAGCGTTGACAACTGCTTGAATCCAGCTTCCAGTCACCTCCCTGGCTGCAGAAACGAGGAAGGAGGGACAAGGGTCCAATAAACATGTGGAGGCACCCAGTCAACCCATGATCCTGTCCACTTCATCCATCGAAACAGGCTCAAATTCAACACAGATGTTACCATCAGGACAGGCCCCTGTCGACTTGTCAGATTCTGCCCAGTCAGAGTCCAACCCAGTCTGAATCTGAGTGATTTTATCTTGCAGAAACTGTACAAAATCCTCAGCTCTGCCCTGCAAGGGGTCCTCCCTCGCTCCATGATTGAGGAGAGAGCGGGTCACTCTAAACAGAGCGGCTGGGCAATTTTCTGCAGATGCAATGAGAGCGGCAAAATATATATATATATATTTTAATTTGATTTATATGCCGCCCTTCTCCGGAGACTCAGGGCGGCTTACAGTGCGTTAAGCAATAGCCTTCATACTTTTGTATATTTATACAAAGTCAGCTTATTGCCCCCACAAACTGGGTCCTCATTTAACCTACCTTAGAAAGGATGGAAGGCTGAGTCAACCTTGAGCCTTGGAGAGATTCGAACCAGCAGTAAATTGCAGGCAGCTGTGTTAATATTGGTGCTTTGCTGCTTCCATTGCCACAAGATAAGACCTAATATGGGTTCTTAACTGTGTTTGGTTAGATTCGGATCGGGAGGATCTCCAACCGCCCTCCAGGCATCTTCTCCGACACTTCATTTCCCTGAGCTCCGCAGTGAACCAGGGAGTCACCCGGATCTGCGTCAGGTCAGAGGCTGCAAAAGTGCGATTCAATCCAAGGCCCCCACCGCGGCCTGTTCCCAGGCCGCGACCAGGGCCTCAGATGAATCATGGGATAAGGAGGCGGGGAAAGGCCCAAGCTCCGTCAGGAACCCTTCCGGGTCCATCAGGCGCCTGGGGCGGAACAATCTCACTGGTTCTGCCTCCCAGTGGTGGGGGATGATGGAGAGAAAGTCCAGCCTGAGGAGGGAATGATCGGACCATGACAGGGGATAGGTTGACAAGTTTCCCCTACCATGATCATTTATCTACTGTCCAGAGAGAAAAACCAGATCGAGTGTGTGTCCTCCCTTATGAGTTGGGCCCTGTACAACCTGAGTTAGGTCCATGGCCGTCATGGAGGCCATGAACTCCCAGACTGATTCAGATGTCTCCCCGGCCGATGGCAAATTGAAATCTCCCAAAAACTAGGAGGTTGGGGAGTTCAACTGCCAATTCGGCAGGACATCTAGCAGTGTGGGCAGGGCTGAGGCTACACAGCTGGGAGATAGGTATGTAACCAACAGACCCGACTGAACTCCAGGGTCCCATTTCAGAAGGAGGGACTCACACCCGCCTATCTGAGGAACAGTTACCTCCCTGGGACTGAGACTTTCCCTAATAACAACCACCACCACCCCGCCCCTACCCTGGAGTCACGGCTGGTGCAGCACATGGAAGCCTGGGGGGACATAAATCGATGAGAGGGACGCCTCCCTCTGGCCCTAACCAGGTCTCCAATTTTATGTCATTTTATTCTATTTTATATATCTATGTATCAAATTATATTGTATCTAATTCTATAACTATTGTATTTTACCCTACTTTTATTTTAAACTGTTTGTATAAGATTTTAATGGTGATATGTGTTGCACCTTGTGCTTTGATATGGCCTATAGGCTAATCAATAAAGCTAACTAACTAACTCAATCAACCACCTCCATTGTTCTGTTCCCCCACTAGGGCTCCAAGCCAACTGGTAGAGCCATGTCTTTAGGCCCTTACAAAAAGGTAGGAGAGTTGGGGCCAACCTCACATCAATGGCCAAGTTCCAGAGGTGGGATTCAGCCAGTTCTGTCTGGTTCAGGTGAACAGGTAGCAGTGACTGCTGGAGGCTTCACCCACCCACACGGACATAATGCGCGACTTCTCTGCATGCGCAGAGGAGTGCTCATATTTGTGAACCGGTAGGGAAGGTA